TTTAAAAAAAAAAAAAAAAAATGCTTTTGTAGACAATTCAAATACGCGTCAGAGCCCGTCGTCAAAATCGTACCAATCGATATATTCATGAAGATATCGATAGTTGAAGTTTTCAATTGTCGGATGTCTGCCAGATTCACACTCATATTTTTTCATTGAAAAAAAAAGTGCTACTAATGGGGTCTTTTACCTTATCAAAAACATCAAAAAAAGATATAATAGAAATTTTATCCAAAAACATGAAAGCCAAAATTTTTTTTATCTTTTAAAGGCAAAAAAAACTATCAAAATCTATATTTTTTCTTTTCACGACATTTTTTCATCATTAATGCGCCGTAAAAACAAGCAGAATCAAAAATAAAAAAATGTTAATTTTTCATCTTATTATGGGCCAAAATGGGTTTAACCTCACTTGTGAATAATTACCAAATTCAGATATTAAATTGACAGATGTCTGCTGATTTGAATGTCATACAATTTTCGAATATGTATTTTGCTATCGACTTGAAAAATTATAAAAATCATTAAACGTTGGCCATTTTTAAATTAAAAATAAATTTTAATTAATAAACAAAGTAGCTTGTTAATTACTCGCAATTTATAATTTATATTTATGACTTTTTAGATCTGTACCTGAGGTTGAACATGAAGCAAGAGTTCCAAAGAAAATCTTGAAATGCCGAGCTGTATCTCGAGAAATAAATTTCAGTTCTGCTGAGCCACTGGAAAGGTTTCGGTTAGAACAGAAAGTTTTATTCAAAGGGCGTTGTCTAGAGGAATGGTTTTTCGAATTCGGTTTCGTCATTCCAAATAGTACTAACACATGGCAGAGTTTGATTCAAGCGGCTCCAGAAAGTCAAATGATGCCAGCAAATGTTCTTAAGTATGTCATATATTATTTTTTGTTTTGTTTGAGTAATTATTTGGGAGTAAGAACTTAATTTACCTGCAATAACTTTTTTCTTTTGACTTTTATTATGAATTAAAAATTTTAAATGGTATCGATCAAAAATACTTTGTCAAGATAGTTTTTAATATTTCTTCAAAATAAAATTTAATAATGTCGAGTATCCTAATATAAAATAGAGATGAAATGTATGTGGCATCAAACTATTCGTAACATGATTGGTTGAATATATCATAAGCATGAAAATATATGCAAACTCTATAGTCAAGGCGCGCGCTTGCGCGCGTAAATTCAAATTCTAGTCCCATAATAAAATTGAGATGAAATGTATGTGGCATCAAACTATTCGTAACGTGATTGGTTGAATATATCATAAGCATGAAAATACATGCAAACTCTATAGTCAAGGCGCGCGCTTGCGCGCGAAAATTAAATTCTAGTGTATTAAAATAAGGAATTTAAATGCTACAAAGTTTCTCTGTATTGAAAATCGATTTACAAGTTTAAAATTCAATTAATCATCCATTTAAAGCTCACGCTAGTTTAAAGCTAAGCGTTAAAAATTGAAAATCTAAGAACTTTATTATCCATTGCAAATAACTAATTTTAATAACATAATAAAAACTATATTTTCTATTTTTTTTATAGCGGAAATGTCGTCATTGAAACCAAGTTCTTCGACGACGATCTATTGGTCTCAACGAGTCGCGTTCGTCTTTTTTATGTTTGAAACTCCAACGAACAAACTAATAACAATATTCCATTAAATTAATTTATTAATTACTTTTAATAACTGATATATTAAAAATAATTTTTAACTAGCTGATTGAGATGAAAAATTTTATCATCATTTGTTGACTATGAATTATGATATTATAATTATCACTATTATATCAACCTAAAAGAGTTTTATAAACACATTTTAGTTGTTGTGTGATTGCATTTACGCACGATTTTTATTTATTTATCTATACAGTCAATCAGAGTTACTAAAGCCTAGTTTTAGTATGGTTCACAGCGTTTTGGGCCCAAGACAATTCATTTCTAACAATTCACCCTTAGGTTCACAACACTTCCGCGGCTTACGATTCTAGAGATTAATTGAATAAATAAAAATAAATCTTACGTAGAAAAAAAAAATATTCATATTTTAATAAATTTTTAACTTCCCGCTAAAAATCTCAGATTTTCAAAAATCGGGAAGTTATTGTTTTCACCCCGTTTTGCAAAAATCGAGTTTTCATCAGATCTCGACGTTTTAAGGTCCTAGGAAGCTTCCCTGACTATTCCCGCGATGGTGTCCGTGCGGCTGTATGTGTGTGTGTGTGTAAACCTCTTATAACTTTTGAACGGCTTGGCCGATCGGATCGAAATCGGTTGGCGATCGGTTCGCTAGATTTTTAGAAATCTCAAAAACAAAATTTTCGAAAAATCGTTTTTTTGGAATAACTTTTAAACGGCTTTACCGATAGATTCCAAAAACTAATCAGCTCTTAACCTTGAAAAACCATGTCGATCACCGTTGGACCGATTAAAATCGGTTGATTCGTTCGTAAGATATCGAAAACGAAAAATTTCAAAAAAAATGTTTTTTCAAAAAATCTCTTAAATGGCTTCACCAATCACTTCCAAAAACTAATCAGCTCTCAACCTTAAAAAACCACGTCGATTGCCGCCAATCCGGTCAAAATCGGTTGATTCGTTCAAGAGATATCGTGAACGAAAAAAAACCGAAAAAAGTGTTTTTTCGGAATTACTCTGAAATTTCTAGTTTAACCGATTGAAACTTAAGAATTCTTTATGAGGCTTAAAAAACTGCGTAGAATGCCGCCAATCGCGTGAAAATCGGTTCATTCATTCAAAAGTTATTACGATTTGAAAATAAAAGAAATAGTGTTTTATCAAACTTCTATCAAACTTTTAAGCTCGAAGAGCTCGAAAGCATACAAAAGCTATTTTTTTGAGCTCGGAGAGCTCAAAATAATACATAAATTGTATTTATGAGCTCGAAGAGCTCTAAAACGTCAGAAGTGCAATTTCAAGCGTTAAGTATAGAATCAGCGGGAAGTTGCAGGGATGGCCTTCAGGGTCAACCGTATTCCTAATTTTTTTTTTCGTGTAATAAATTATTATCATCATTTCGAGTAACGAATAAATAGTTTTTTAGACCGTGGATGAGTGGACCGTGTATGTTTATTCGAAAATGGACCAACTTATAAGCTTGTTACCATGATGTGGTTTCTTATCGTGGATTTTGTGTGTGTTTATTTAAAAATGTTATAATTTTCGTCCGGGATTATTTTATCCGGTTTTTATTTTTTTTTTTTTAATTTTATCAGATATTTTTTAGATTTCTTTTAGAAATATTGAAATTGCATGCCAATAAGAGATGAATTGTCAGAGAATGAATTGCTGCGGGGACGAATTGTCATGGGGATGGATCGTCAGGGGATAAATTGTCTAGGGCTCAAAACGCGTCACACCTTTTAGTATAGTTTTATAGTCCGTATTTTAATCTTAAGTATCTAGCCTTAGCTTATTTTATAAGGTCTTGTTTTAGTTATAAAGCGATAAAAGTTAGAGATTATTTCTGTGATTGTGACTTTTTATTCGTCAGTATAATCTTTAATTACATAAACAGTCACGTATTTTATAGAAAAAATAATTTTTTGATTTTGTACGTACTACTTATTTCTAAGTAATAATAATAATAATTTTGGTTTTATTTGTATCACTTTTTACATGAGTTTTAAAAATATTTTAAAATAATTTTTATATGAAAATGAAGTTAGCCGACATTTCAAAATTTATAAAAATTTTTTATTGAAATAATTTCAATTAAACAATTAAAAAAAAAATTTCACATGTAAAAAACTTGAAAAACTATAAGTGCAATTTTTTAGAAATAACTTTTTAGTTGTAATTTAATTAATAAAAAAAATCAAAAGTTTTCAGACGTCTGCTAACTTCAGTGTCATATTTTTATATTGATAAATAAATTGACCTAATTCAAGGAAAAATATTTATTCAAAAAAATTATTTTTAAGAATCGTATTGTTTTGAATCAAACATTTTTTAACCGAGAACTTTTCTTGGTTTAAGTAAATTTTGTTTTAAATTTTTTTCTGCTGAATTCAAAACAATAAAATTTTCTTTGATTAGAATTAATAAAATAGATTTTATATTTGGACTGCAAGCATTGTCTTGCAACTATTTAATTAGTTTAATTAGTTTTTAGTTTAATTATGTTGACCTAAATATGCTTAATTTTTGTAATTTTCAAAATATCTGCAGTAAAGGATAAAATGTAATTTTAGTTTATTAATCACAAATCATCCAAAGTTATAATTTATAATATAAACTCATTTGAATATAGACTTTTATAAAAAAGTTGGCCAATCATCTGATTGACTGTAGATATTACTTTTAACAATATATGAACATATATTATCAATGTTTGAAAATATAATTATTTTTAAACTAAGGACCAGACACAAATGTTCGAGTGAGATATTATAATTTTTGTACATATCAATATACTTTTTATTTTAATTTTGTTTTAAATAATTATGGAAATAATATAAAATAAAAAAATTTTTGATTAATTATTGTAATTCTCTTTTTTTACACCTTTAATCCATAACTATGACCATATGACCAGCACATTAAAACAGATTTCTAATTTAAAAAAAAAAAAAAACTAAATTTTATTGCAATAAAAAACTAATCAATAAGAAATTTTGCCAAAAAAAAAATTATTCAACGCGTAAATGCTTATTACTCGGGAAAATACCTAATTATGTTCAAATAAAAGGGAATTAAAATGAGTGATTAGATTAAGCCTCACGATTGGCCTTTAAAAATGGGTTTGGGGAGATTCCCATATTTAGTCTAGCACCAAACTCATTTAGGAAATTAGACCCAAATAGGTATAAGTAAATAGGAGTATTGTTGTACGTAAGCGCTCATTGAATTTAAAATAAGAAATATTTGAGTAACGATAGTGAACAATGGTTACGAGGATCAATTTCAAAAAGTAAAATTTTAGAATAACTAAATAGAATTTGAATATTAAGATAGAAGGTCTAGTTACATGTATGCAAACACATAGATATATAATAAATAATGGTACATAAGAATGAGTGAGAAAACAAGTATGTATATCGACCTTAGTAGGGAGCCCAAGTGACCTTTTCTGGAAACCCTAGAGAAAAGAGAAAGAGTCCAAGAAAACGGGCCACTTAGTTGGATATTGTTTTCACCCAATTAGTGCAAATTAAGACTGCCGCAAAATTTGAGACCCCGAAGATTTTCACCTGGACTCTTTCGTATTTTAGATCTCCAACGGTGCATATCATAAAAATGTTCCAGGAAAAGTGTATCGCGTGGAAAAATATAAAGTTTTAATAATTGAAGAAAATTTTTCACTCAAATCGTTATTGAAAATTCAGTGTCTCAAGTAATATAGTCAAAGTATATTTATTAATTAAAATTAAAAAATTTATTCTGATAGTAATAATTTTAATAAACTCCAAAATCATTATTTTCCTCAATATTTCTGAGTTCTCGGTCTATTGGTTGAAACATACCAAGGCCAAAATTAATTAACTCGGTTATGTCCAATCTAGACGTGATACTTTTTTATTTTTCTAATTTCTTTATTTTTCATGTCCCTTGTTAAGAACAACAATTTAATATGATTCAATCCATGCAAAGTGTATATTTCTATAGTGGTCAATTGAAATAATTTTGTTTTGAATTATTTTTAATTGTTTTTTTTTTCTAATGAGGGTTAGTTATATATTGTAATATATTTTTGTTCTTGTAGTAAAATTTTCTCCACCTATTCAATTAAACCGTAATCTTAACCAATCAAATTTTGGCGTTCTCTTTGATATTTAATAATTTAAATACGAAGTAGTTTTATAAGTAAAAAATTTCATAAAAATTCCTTTAGTTTTTTAGCATAATAAACTGCGATATAACATCTTTATTTATTGCCCATTCATAGATTTAAGTTTTTTCAGATTATAAATTAATATACAAAAATTTCAATATTAATTAATTGAACAAGTCTAGGAATCTACAAATTTGATGCGTGCAATGACAGCAGCAATTATTCTTAAATTAAAAAATTAAAAATTATCCATTTAGAGTATCACAAGTTTTCTATGTATACAATTAACTGATTTCAATTCGGGCTGAGTCTTTGTACAAAGAGCAATCTCAATTTATAACAATACTTAACTAAAATAAAATATAATTACAACAAAACACTACAGAAATACTTTCTTTAAAGTAAAAACATTAATCAATTAAAATAGAAATTTAACTTAGACCTTTTTATCAATCAATGAAAGGTATGATACTAGTGGCCTCGTTGACGCTAAGTTATCAAATTTAACAAATGCTTCAAAGTTGAAAGAACTTTGACTTACCTTTCAAAATCATTTTGTTTTTTTTTTTATTTTTTATTAAAAATCATACATTCTTCGAAAAATTTTTTTGAGAAAAATTATTATGACCAATTCGTGGAATTTCAGACAAATAGCGCGAAATAATAATAACGCTGCAATAATTCGCGTCTTTGCTTAAGAGAGTCGAATCTAAACGGGCATAAGTAAAAAATCTATGAATATTTTCGAAATATTTAAAATTTTTTAGTTGCAATGAACATTAACGAGTTGTAAAAAATTAATTTGAAAGTAATTTGATTATTATTAAATTGTTTATTAACAATATAATCGAGACATCTAGGGTGTTTTGAAGTGTGATGCCTTGGAAAAAGTCAAATAAAACTTATTAGATGTACGTATGGTTGAAAAAAAACAATTTTTTAGTGAATTTCAAACATTTTTTTACAAGAAAAATTAACTTTCATTGTAAAATTATCGGATATATTATGAATAAACTGTAAATAAACAAAAGGTTCTAACACCACTGCGTAAAATTTGTTGGCAAGAGTTGAGTGAGAAATGAGTAAGTCTCTCTCCGCGGTCCGCGCATTTACTGGTGGCCACCGCGAGATAGTGGCAGCGCCAAATTCTCTACTAACGTAAAAAATATAAATCATTCAAGTGTAATATTCTACGAAGTAATTCACGATGACTGACACCGAAGTTATTTCTTCTCCAGTTGAAGACAAGGCAGTCGCTAAGGTTGACTCTCTGAAGAAAACTGTCGCCAAGACCGATTCTCCGAAGAAGGCTCCGAAAGCGAAGAAACCATCTACCAAGCCGGCTCATCCTAGCACTGCTGAAATGGTCACTGCTGCCGTGAAAGCTCTTGCTGAACGCAACGGATCATCTCTTCAAGCCATCAAGAAGTACGTCGCTGCCAACTACAAGCTCGACGTCGACAAACAAGCTCCGTTCATCAAGAAGTTCCTCAAGGCAGCCGTCACCAAGGGTACCTTAGTTCAGACCAAAGGAAAGGGAGCTTCTGGATCCTTCAAACTTCCAGTTGCTAAAGCTGCTGCCAAGTCAAAGCCTAAAGCCGCTTCTGGTGAGAAGAAAACTGCTGCCGTGAAAAAAGCACCGGTTAAGAAACCAGCAGCCAAGAAGGTCAGTGAGGCTAAAGTTTCTGTGAAGAAAATCACTTCACCGAAAAAAGCCGCCACCAAGAAACCAGCTTCACCGAAGAAGGCCAAAGCTCCAGCTAAGCCTAAAGTTTCTGCTTCTCCGAAGGCCAAGAAAGCTACTAAAGCTCCAACTGCTAAACCCAAGGCACCCAAACCCAAAAAGGCAGCTGCTTCCAAAGTAGCTAGAAGTCCAGCCAAAAAAGTCTCAGTCAGGAAATAAATTGACTATCATCTTTTTATTTAATTATTAAAACAAAAAAAAACGGTCCTTTTCAGGGCCAACCAAATCTTTCATTACGTACAATACTTTTCAATTTTTATTCACTATTTTTGATACTATCAATAGTCCTAAAGAACCTTTAATCTTGTAATAACTCTTGAATCTTATGATGAACCTTGAATTTAATAATCAAAATTTACAATTGGCTTGAATTTTAGAGATTAAGTGATCACCTATAATATCTTTCAAGTGAACTACATTGAACAATTTTTATAAATTTTAAGTTTTAATATTCGAAATGGACATAACGCATTTAACATGAATCAATTTTACTAACTTCTAAAACTATACTTTCATGATGAGCAATAAGAAATTCTGAAATTATGCAATTAAAAAAAATTACATTAAGGTAGAAGACCCAGTTAATGACACTTGCAATTTTATTCTAATTAATAGAATAAAATGTTCTCAAAAAACCAATTATCTTAAAAGTTGTAATTTAAAAATTATATTTATTAATTTATTAGAGTCGATTTGTTTTATTTAATTTAAATAAAATTGCAAGTGTCAATAACTAGTTCAGTGTCAATAACTGGGTTGTTTACCTTATATATTTATAATATTTGAGTGTTTACAAGGTAAAAGTCCCAATAGATGATCATGTACCAGTATATGATCATCTATTGGGGCTTTTACTTTACATCTATTTAAAATTTATCTTATCATAAAAAAGAATTAATGGATTGTTAGATGGAGGAATGCAATTTAACTTAACGAAAAATCCAATGGCTTAATTCTAAGTTTCTTTTAACAAGCTATTTATTTTTTTTCTATTTAGTTGTATAAACTATATCTTTTATAAAAAATTTATTATAAATATGAATAAATACAGGTTCTATCTTTTCTCGCTATAGTTGAAATGAACGGTATTATCTTTGCTGCATTTATGATAGCGAAGCTACTGTTTAGATTTACTGTTTATTCTTAAATAAATGAAAATTGAAAAAACGCCCTGCTGGAATATATAATTAAATAATGTATCAAGTAGAGTTTTAAATAAAATTCTTTTTTTTTTTGGAAAAATTCATCATCTTACACTAACTGGGATCATTTCTCTAATTTACGAATCATGATAACAGATGTATTTTGATTATTATCGAATTTCGGTATTGGACATTACCTTTAGGCTTGAAATTAATGATAGATTTTAATACTATACAATTATTAAATATATATGTATTTAATGCAGCACGGTATAATACTTTATTAAGTGAAGATGAAAAATAATTTTGAAAATAATTTCCCAGTATAAAAAATTTGGTGGCCCTGAAAAGGGCCGTTTTGTTTATTTTTTGAAGAGTGAATATGTATTTAACCTCCGAAACCGTAGAGAGTACGTCCCTGACGTTTCAATGCGTAGACAACATCCATAGCAGTGACTGTCTTTCTTTTGGCGTGTTCAGTGTAAGTGACGGCATCACGGATGACGTTCTCAAGAAAGACCTTCAGAACACCACGAGTCTCTTCGTAGATGAGCCCAGAAATACGCTTGACTCCGCCACGACGAGCCAGACGACGGATAGCTGGTTTGGTGATACCTTGGATGTTATCACGAAGAACTTTACGATGACGCTTAGCTCCTCCTTTACCCAATCCTTTTCCTCCCTTACCACGGCCAGTCATGTTGAAATAATGAGTGCGAGTTTAAAGTTACTCAGAAGGAATCGCTGTCGAGAATACTGGTTGCCAGTTCAAGTAGGGATATTTATACACTTTTTTTGGAGTTGCTCCTTCCACTGAATTCTGTCGAAAGGGAACGGGGGAAACGAGTTTCACTTACATCTGTCCGTTGCTTTAAACCAATGAAATCGCTTTCATTTGACCCCATTTCTTAGCTACGAATCGACTGTGCTAATCAGAATGTGTTGCCCAACTCTTTACTCTGAACCAATCACGGCGATAAAATTTTGTCTTTCCCCAACAAGGGTTACGAATGTTGTGCTGCGTGGTGGAAAATTGACAAAAAGGCAAATTTCGGCGCAAAGATCATCATTCTTCATAAAGTTTCGTCGTGATAAGTGTTAGAATCAGTTCACTCAGCTGAAATGGCAAGAACTAAGCAGACCGCTCGTAAGTCTACCGGAGGCAAAGCGCCTCGTAAACAACTTGCTACGAAGGCCGCCCGTAAGAGCGCGCCTGCCACTGGAGGAGTCAAGAAGCCTCATCGTTACCGTCCGGGAACTGTTGCTCTACGTGAGATTCGTCGTTACCAAAAGAGCACCGAATTGTTGATCCGTAAATTGCCCTTCCAACGTCTCGTTCGTGAAATTGCTCAAGACTTCAAAACCGATCTACGATTCCAAAGCTCTGCTGTGATGGCCCTTCAAGAAGCCAGCGAGGCTTACCTCGTTGGTCTCTTTGAAGATACTAATCTCTGCGCTATTCACGCCAAACGTGTGACTATCATGCCTAAGGACATCCAGTTGGCTCGTCGTATCCGAGGAGAACGTGCTTAAGTCATTGATCTTCATAATTTCAAACCAAACGACCCTTTTCAGGGCCACAAATTTTTCACACTACGAAAATTTTTCAAGTTGCCTTTAGTTTTACCATGACCTGAACTTCTTTACTTCAATCCAAGTCTATTATTATGAATCCTCTTTTGTTGTCACTTGCATTCGTCTCGGCACACTCACATGCTTACTCAAAACTTCTTTATTCCAGTGGAAAAATGACTGCCTGATTTAGTACCAACTGTACTCACGTATAACTGTACTCCTATATTACGCCATGTTTATTCAATACCAACGTCATTCAACAACATCTGTATCTGTACTCCAATTTCACTGGGTAAAACTAAATGTCGATAACATAGAAACCACTAGTTCAAACGTATTTCATCGAAAAGAGACTCGAGACTTGAATTTTTTTTTATTAAATAAAGTTTTTTTTTTTTTCAAGTCAAAAAAATTGTAATTAATCTATATTATTAAGAAAATAAGCAAAATTTTATGACCAGTTTATTTATATAATAAAATGGATTTTTATGGTTAAATTTGGTATCGTTGGAAAAGTCTTGACCTGGAGTTGTGCCTTTTCATGGTTTCATATCATTCTCACCAATAGTGTCAATTTATAATGATAAGTACTTAGGCAGCAATTGAAAAATGCTCTATATCTAGATACATCGTTAAGAAATGACCTTGTATCTCGTGAAATATTGACATTTTTAAAGATATAAGCTCACCCCGATGTTATATATACTCATCGAGACCTTTCATTTGAGTTCCCACATCAATTTTTCATATATTTTATTTATTTATGTTTATAAATATATAAAAAATATATCAAAATGCATGTGGGAACTCAAATGAAAACTCTTGATGAGTGTATCATCAAGATGAGCTTATATCTTTAAAAACGTCAATAGTTGAAAAAGTACAGTGTTATTTAACTTAAGTCATTATTTAATAAAGCAAAATTTGATTTGTTTATAGTTCACAAGTCATGGCAGTCACATAGTGACTGCAAAGTTGCTAATTACAAGTATTTCAAGTAGACTTTAATGTTTTAGTAACTGTAATTATTAATTATATTATTATATTATTATTATTAATTAATTAGTAATTATTAATTTTAATAAGCGAGCAGGATTAATAAATATATATTTTTCAAAATTACATGAATTTTAAATCATTCATTTTTATTAGTAATTTTAATATTAATTTTAAGAAAATACACGAATTTAGATTGAATTAATATTCTTGTTACATTATTATTATAACGTTAGTACAATTACTATTTTAATTATATCAATATTACATTACTTTAGTTTTATAGTAATAATAATAATGTTACTATAAAATTAAAATTATAGATAATAATTAATAATTATGAAAATAGATTTAAATAATTAGTTATAAAGTTTTAAAATCAGTTATTGTTACGTTCCCAAATTTTGGGTTAATTAATTAAAATTATTTAAGTCCAAGTTTTGACCTCGTTAGGATGTCAATAGACTCCAGGTGGGTCGTGTCACTGATTTATCCGCGAAGTTACTTTTTATATTAAAGTTTATAAAATTTTATATTACTTTCAATTAACCTGCCTCAGGTAGGTGATTTTGGAGAGCCTAAACGCCCGACTAGCGCTTCGGCGATTTCACCAGGGTGGAAAACGGCTTTTATTAAAGCGCTTACACCCTGGGGGATAAGGTTTTAATAATTATCCATATTAATCGATTAACAACTAATAAGATTTATTTATAAAGGATTAGGCAGGTTCAGCCTCGGACCAGCAGAGATTGCTCCTCTGCTAGGTCCGAGGACTGACTGCTCCAGAAGAAGTCTGAGGACAGAATGTGATTAAAATATTTTTCGATTTATAAGTTCTTTATTCATCTTAGAATTTTGATTACATGTTATTACAATATTATTTGTTCCTTAATTATTACCAAATATTTCTATTTATTTAAAGTTTTGATGTTTTATATTGAAGTTTTGTTATCTTATAAATATGGAAAAAATTGTTTTAAAAACCATATGAGCTATAATTTTAATTATCTTACAAACTAACTTAGCCTATTACAGTATTTACAGTATTTACAAAATGTACAGTAAGATGCTTGATCAATTAATGAGTATGTGATTCGGGAGTTTGTGTTTAATTTTAAATGGGGCAGTGTCTTTATTAAAGATGCCAACGTCTTGTAGTATTTCTAAATTTTTGGTTCTGTTGTTGTAGAAGTCCTGCGTACGTTTGTGAATGTCATTATAGATTTCATCTATGTTAAGTCTGGATTTGATGCTGTCATTCCGCTCATAAAGTCGAGCATTGCTAATCATTCTTAGTATCTTATTTTCAATTGTTTTGATTTTATTTATGTTAATGTTAGATGCACTACTCCAGATTGGAGCCGCGTATAATAGTATTGGTTTAATCATGCTTTTATAAAGTATGAGTTTATTTTTAATACTCAGCTTACTTCTGTGTCCAATGAGTGGATATAGTATATGCTTTATACTTTTTGCGTTAGAACATGCTTTATTGATATGCGAGACGTATGTCAGTTTGTTGTCTAGTATTACTCCTAAGTACTTGGCGTTAGTTTTTGGTTCTATAATTGTATTGTTGATGTTAATTGTTAGGTTGTCTTCGTTCTTTTTTATTTTAATTCTTTTACTGATTATAATTAGTTCTGTTTTTGCTTCATTAATTTTAATTTTCCATTTTGTGTAGTATTGGATAAGTGTGTCTAGGTATTTTTGTAGCCTGTCTAGAGCAATTCTTTTATTACCTGAAACGTTGTAGAGTGCTGTATCGTCCGCAAATAGAGCCAAATTTGTGTTATTATCTTTAGGAATGTCATTTATATAATATAAAAATAGAATAGGACCAAGGATGGATCCTTGTGGAACTCCAGCTACTGTTTTTTGTTTTTCTGAAAGTGTATCATTTACTTGAACTTGGATTTGTCTGTTAGTGAGGTAGTGTTGTAATAGTTTAATTATGTATATTGGTATTTCTAGTTTATGTAACTTGTATAAAAGGGCTTGATGCCAAACTGTATCGAATGCTTTTTCTATATCTAGTAAGACTATTGCAGTTGATTTATTCCAATTAAATTTGGTAGTTATAAAATTTACTATGCGTGCCAGTTGTAGGTCTGTAGCGTGGTGTTCTCTGAATCCAAACTGTTCTGCTATGAGATTTTTATTTTCTGTCTCATGGATTTTAATTCGTTTTAATATTATTGTTTCTAGGATTTTACTTAGTGTACACAGTAGGCTAATTGGTCGGTAGCTTTGTGGAAATAAGCTATTTTTGCCTGGCTTTGGGAAAGCTAATACAGTGGCTGTTTTCCATGTAGATGGAAAGTATGATTGTTTCATGCAGTTGTTGAATATGTGTGTTAGTTGTACTAGTGCTTTGCTGGGTAAGTTTTTAAGGATGATATTTTGTATTCCGTCGTGCCCGGGTGCTTTTTTAGATTTAGTTTTTTTAATTATGTTTCGTATTTCTCTAGGTGAAATTAGTTTAATGCTATTGGAGTCTATTATTGTGTCAGTGATATGATCATATTCTGTATTTACTAGGTTTTCGGTGGTTTCGTCACTTTCATGTTCTGTGAGATGATGAACTTGTTCAAAGTATTCGGCTAGTACATTGGCCTTTTCTTTGTCAGTGAAGGCTAAGCCTTGGGGACCATGTAGTGTGGGAATTTTATTTATTGTTTTTTTGGTGAGAGCTTTAGCAGTTTGCCATATTGAGTTGTCGGATACTTTTAAATTTTGAAGTTTTTTGTCCCATTGATCGTTTCGGTGTTCAGTAATTAATTGTTTGATATTTTGCGCAAGTGTTTCTTTTTGGATTTTTATGAGTTTGTTTCCTGTACGTTGATATTGTCGTCTTAGTTTATTTCTATTTTTTATTAAAAGTATTATGTGGTCAGGTAGTGGTTTAATTTTAGCTGTGATTTCGATTTCTGGAATGGCGATGCTTATTGCATCATTTATTGTATTTGTCAGATTTTTAATGCATTTATCTATTTTTTCTTTTGAGTTAATGTTTGAGTTTATAATTATCGAGTCGTTTATTATTTCACGGAACTGCTGCCAGTTTGCTTTTTTATAATTTAATACTGTTTTAGTGTCCAGTTTTATAGTGTTTGTTTGATTAAGAGTAAGTATTAGTGGTAAGTGGTCAGAGTCCAAATCATTTATTGTTTCTATATCAGCATGATAAATATTTTTTAATAAGGCTAAATCGACTGTACTTGGTTTGCCTCCATTTGTAGGATAAAGAGTGTATCTATCTGGTGCTAGGATTTCAAAATGATTATTGTCTGTTAAATTTGTTAAAATGTTACCGTTTGTGTTTTTAATTGAGCAATGCCAGTCAGTATGTTTTGCGTTGAAATCTCCAAGTAATATTGTTCTAGAGTTTATCATTAGTTGCTTCAGTTCGTTAGGGTCTATTTTATTTGTTTTACCTGTATTTTTGGGTCTTACATAGACTGAATAAATTTCTATATTATTTGCAAGTTTTATGCCTAGTGCTTCTATTGTATTAAGTTGTTTTGTTGGTAGTTCACTAAATTTAATTGTATTATTAACTATTATTAAGAGTCCTCCTCCGTTTATACTGTCTGGTCTGTCTTGTCTTATAAAGTTATAGCCTAAGAATTTAGTTAGTTTAGAGTTTTTATTAAATTTAGTCTCATTAATTAGCATAATATCTATGCTTTCTTGTCTAATAAATTCGTATAGTTCTGGTATTTTTTGTGTTAAACCGTTGGCATTCCAGTGTCGTATTTTTAGTTTAGTGGATTTATTATCCATTTTGTTCGTAGGCAAGCATGAATTCTAAAATTGCTGAGCATTGTTCTGATTTGTTACCTTGAGTGTTTCTGAGTTTGTTAGTAAGTGTTGTGATTAATTCAACTAAATAGTCTATGTCACATACTGTTTTAAGTGTGTTTAGTGCTTTTTGTAATTTATTAAGGGGTTCAAGCATCTTACCATCGAGTGTGTTTGTGATTTCGCTGTATAGTTGATGATTGTTGTCCTGGATTGGTGCTGGAGCTGGTGTTGTCTGCATGTTCTTATGTGCTGGGAAGTTCTTGGAGTCCATTGGTGGTGGCGGGGTTGCTTGATGTTGTTTTTGAAGTGGTTGGGCTGCCCTCTGTCTTCTTTTTTCTTGAGCTGCCAAATAGCTTTGGTAGATTTCGCAGCCAGTATAACTTGCTGGGTGATTTTGTTTGCAGTTCACACATTGTGCTGGATTATCTTTGCTTTTGTTGCAGTCTTCTGATTTATGTTCACTTGACACAGCGAGGTTTATAATCACAGTGACTTGATTCATGTCCAAACTGTTGGCAGTTGTAACATTGTGTCACTTTCTTAGGGTTTTTGTAGCGTTCTATTGTTACTATAACGTTACATATATCTTTGATTGCATATACGCTTCTCAGGTCTGTTTCAGGTCCCATTGACATGAATAGGAATGGGAATTTGTTTTTCGAGTCCTTTTTTTGTTTCATCTCTGCTATTTTCGTTGGTTTAAGGGGGTATTCTGGTCTAGAAGCCTAAATTTTAGGCATTTTTCAAACTAACATAAAAAAAAAATGAAAAACATTTTTATAATCCGTTTTTTTATATGATTTTTATTGACAGTTCAAGAATAATAAAAAAAGTTAAAAAAAAAAAAAAAATGATAAATTTGACAAATTACAGGGCGGTGAAGTGGGGGCTACAAAAAAAACGGTGCACTCTGGTTGACATGATTCCAGCCCTTGTAGTGATATGAAACAAAAAAATTTGAGAAATTCTCAATCCGTAAAGATGTCGCTATCGTGTTGACTATAGTCAAAAAAAAAAAAAATTCACAAAATGGCGTCGAAATAAAAAATCAATTTTTTTTTTTACCCTTTTTTATGACCTTTTCGAATTTTTTAAAAATACTCCAAATTGAAATTTTTTGAAATCC